TACTGGGCGTTGGTGGTAGAGGGAGTGGATGCTTGTGGATGTGGTGCTAATCAAGCAGCTGCTATGCCCTGGATGGTGCCAACCCTCTTGAATGTTGTTGGAGCTATACTGATGCAGGCAAGTGGGGAGTATTCTATCACACTCCTGGCTTATAACTTATAGATGATGAACAGCTTTGGGGAGTCAAGAAATAAGTTACTCGCTCGAGTATTCCTAGCCTCTGACCTGTTCCTGTAGCCAATGTGCTTATGTGGCTCGTCCAGTTGAGTTTCTGGTCAATGATAACCCCAAGGATGTTGACAGAGGGGAATTCAGTGATGGTAACATGATTGAATGTCAAGGGATGGTGCTTAGATTGCCTTTTATTGTAGATGGTCATTGCTGGCATTTGTGTGGCACGAATGTTACTTGCCACTTGTCAGTCCAAGTCTGGACGTTGTCTAGAGCGTGTTCACATTTGAACATGGACTCCTTCAGTATCTGAGGAATTGTGAATGATGCTGAACATTGTGCAGACATTGGCAAACATCCCCACTTATGACCTAATGATGGAGGGAAAGTCATTAATGAAGCATCTGAAGATGGTTGGGCCTAGGATACTACCCTGATGAACTCCTGCAGAGATGTCCTGGAGCTGAGAGACTGACCTCCAACAACCACAACCATCTTCTTATCTACCAGGCATGACTCCATCCAATGGAGAATTTGCCCTGGATACCCATTGATTCCAGATTTGCTGGGGCTACTTGATGCCACTCTCAGTCGAATGTAGCTTTGGTGTCAAGGGCTGTCACTCTCACCTCATCTCTGGAATTCAGCTCTTTTGTCCATGTTTGAACCAAGGCTGTAATGAGGTCAGGGGCTAAATGGCCCCAGTGGAACCCAACCTGGGTGTCTCTGAGCAGATTATTGCTGAGCAGGTTCTATTTAATTGCACTGTCAATGACACCATTTATCATTTTACTAACGATCAGTTGTAGACCGAGAGGGCGATAATTGGCTGGGTTTGATTTGTCCTGCTTTTTGTGTACAGGAGCAACTTTCTACATTGTTGGAAAGGTGCTGGTGTTGTAACAGTACTGGAACAGCTTGGCTAGGGGAGAACAAGTCCTTAGTATTATTGCCGGAATATTGTCAGGGAACATAGCCTTTGCAGTATCCAGTGCCCCCGCTGTGTCTTGATATCACGTGGAGTGAATCAAATTCGGTGAAGACTGCTATCTGTGATACTGGGGCCCACTGGAGGAGGCTGAGATGGATCACCCATTTGACACTTCTGGCTGAAGATTGCTGCAAATGGTTCAGCCTTATCGTTTGCACTGATGTGTTGGACTCTTCCATCAATGAGAATGAGGATATTTGTGGAACCTTCTCCTCCAGTGAGTTGTTTAATTGTCCACCACTATTCACAACTAGATGTGGCAGGACGGCGGAGCTTAGATTTGATCTGTTGGTTGTGGATCAACAAAGGTCTGACTTCAGTAATCCAATTTTTCAGCCCTTTTCCCAAAGCCCTGGAGGCTATGGCAATGTAAGTAAATATCTAATACTGCTTAAATGTTATGAGAGTTTCTGACTCAACCATCCGTTCAGGCAGTGGGTTCCAGACTCCCTAAGCTTTCGAGAGTGAAAAGAGTTCTCCTCAACTCTCCTCTTTTAGTCTTTTACTGCTTACTTTAATTCTATGAGACCTTTGCTAATGAACCAGCACCTTTATATCTGCCACATCTATGTTCCTCTATCCCTCATAATCTTTTGCACTTTTATGAGGTTCCCCTCTCAACTTTTGCTCCTCCCAAGTAAATTGACCCCAGCCAATCTAGTCTCCTCATAGCTCAAATCCTCCAGGTGGGGCAGCAGCCTGGTAAAATTCCTGTACATCCTCTCTATTGCAATCACATTCTTCCTGTAATGTGGTGACTAGAACTGCACACAGTACTCCAGTTGTGGTCTAATCAGTGTTTTACAGTTTCAGCATAACGTCCTTGCTCTTGTATTTAGTGTCTTGGTTAATAAAGCAAATATCCGATATGCCTCATGAACCACCTTATCTACCTGCTTTCCTACTTTCAGGGATCTGTGGATATGCACACCAAGGTCCCTCTAATCTTCAGTACTCTCCAGGGCCTTGTCATTCATCGTACAACTCCTGGCCCTGTTAGCTCTGCCTGAGTGCATTACCTCACGTCTTTCAGAGTTGAATTCCATTTGCTACTACTCTGCCTACTTGACGAGTCTGTTGATATCCTCCTGTAGTTTATGGTTGTCTTCATCACCGTTTACAATCTTGCCAATTATGGAAAATCTACTAAACCACAGATCTTACAACACCCCATACCTCTGACAGTGCTCATACTGCTTTTCTCCCTCCATTCCTCAACAGTGTTCACAGCCCCGTGCCTAGTACCTCTAACAGTACTCAAAGCCCACCTGCAAGACTAATGGTCCTCAGATCCTGGCAGTTCTGCCTCCACACCCCCGTACCCCTAACATTGCTCAGCTATTACTCGTATCTCTGACAGTGCTTGTACCTTCCTGTGCTCGTACGCTTCTTACCCTCTCCCCTGTGTTCCCTCCCGCTGTGTCCAGGGAGGAGGGAGGGTGGTTTGTGGAGGCAGTGAACTGTGTCCGAAGTGGAGGAACATATGAGTTTGATGTTTGAGAATTGAACAGTGTAGGGGATGTTGAGTCGATGAGCAGGTTCAGAGGTGTGTGTATGGTACAATGAGAGCACTGTTGGATGTCATCAGGCTGGAGGTTAAACTTTGCCAGATGTTGTGAGAATGGTGGTCTGGTATTTCACTGGTGGAGGGAGAGGGTTTAAGAGGTATGAGGGGTTGCAGCAAGGGGAGGCTAAGCTGTGTTATGAATGTTCATTTAAAAACTCTGCAAGTCAATGTACTGAAAAAAAAAAGGTTTTATGTGGCATTGTGACAAAAATGGAGAGTGCTTTGCCAGGGGGCCTCCTCAAAGTGCTCATCAATGGATTAAAGCTGAAACAGGGCAAAGATCGTCCAAAATCTCCAGAATCGAAATATAAAACAGTAATTTAAAACACAGTCAGTGGTTTATGCTCAACCTCTACTGCCGACTGGAATTTCTGGGCTAATATTCCTCAAGTTAGAAACCGGGCTCAAAATTTTTTCCCTAAAATTCTGCTTAAAATTTTATTGGGAACCACATTGATTTTTACAGGCTGCCTTTTTGTTTTCAAGGGTTCCTTTTTGATTCTGATTAACTTATTCGGTGATACACTCACTTATTAACATCACTTTCTGTATTGTGTTGATACCTGGGGTATTTGGACTCTTAGAAACAGAATTAAAATAACTTAATATTGTTATGGACCAGACCAAACCCCCTCAAAATATATCAAGGAGATTGTCTAGACCCTAACTTTTATCTTATTTACAGGTAAGTGTAAGGTGTTATGTTCCAGATGTGATTTGATTGGTCACACTGCTAGGCTTTAAGCAAAACACACTTTATTCTTACACTACAGTTAAAATGCAAACAAAAAAGGCATAACGTTAACTCTGTTAAAATACTTCATAAAAATGATGTATTATTTAACTACTGCTCATCAACTATTCAAATACAGCAGCATCCCATAAACACACACTTAACAAAACAGATTTCCCTCACTTGATATCTCCTTCAGTCCAGGAGAAAGGAAAAACCAAAAGCATGTATCTAGCAGCAGAGACAACTCAAGGTTTTTGCAGCAGCAGGGAGAGAGCTGTATTGATCAGCTTCATCTCCAAAACTCCAGCTTCTTCACCGTTGGAAAGCAAAATCTAAAGCCCACTCATGCTTTCTTTATCTAATGTAAAAGAAACCCAAAGCTATGAACTCTGTTTTCCATGGAGCTGACACCCCTGTTCAAGAGAAACAGGACAGAAAATATCCCTTTTAAAGGTACATATTGTCACAATATCCTTAATCATCACTGCTGTACTGATCTTAAAATGGTAACACACAAGGAAAACATTAAAATCCCAGACCCACAGTTTTTAAATTGCTGCAGGAAATTATCACCACTTTTGAAACTCCGTCCCCACTTTTTGGCCACTTTTACAGACTCCCATCATACGCAATTAATGGCTCCAGGTCCCCAACCCACTAATCCCACTCCTCCAGGCCCAACAATCATGTATCTTCCAGAGGCAGACTATGCCTTCCCAGTCCCATTTCATGTCTGCCATCCTGTGACTAGTCGACTACATCCTGCATCTGCTATCGTAGCAGCCTTTCTGATTACCCCTACTCCTTTTCTTGCTGCTCCTCCAATCATGGGTGGTTTCTCTCTCACATTTGCTGCTGCATAAGTAGTAAATGCAAATGATGCCAACCTTCCAAACCCATGGCCACTTCCATCTAGAAGGACAAGAGCAGCAGATACATGGGAACACCACCACCGTCAAGTTCCCCTCCAAGCCACTCACCATCCTGACTTGGAAATATATCACTGTTCCTTTACTATCACTGAGTCAAAATCCTGGAATTCCCTTTCTAACGGCATTGTGGGTCAACCAACAGCAGGCGAACTGTTGCGGTTTAAGAAGGCAGTTCACCACCACTTTCTGAAGAGCAACCAGGGATGGGTAATAAATGCTGGCCAGTCAGCGATGTCCACATCCCACAACTAAATAACAAAAAAACAAACCAATTATGACCAATCTACTGATGAGAATTATATTTTTTGCCATTGTTTGGCCCTGTGACTGAATTCTGCTTGGCGTTTTGGAACATTTGTGGCTAAACTTGGCACCAGCCCCATTTTAGAAAATTTAGAAACCATGTATCTATTGCCATTTTATGTTTTGTGCTCAGACAGCTAACAGTTATGTTACAAATTATCTATAGCAAGCCATTAAAAATAAAAAAAATTCATTTCTGGAGAAATGAATTGTAAAGTGGCTATGTACAAGTGGTTTCCTTGTCATTTTAAAGTTTTCTTATAGTTGTTATTATGGATTATTTTCCTTCCATATTCACAGGAGCCAAGACATTTACAATTTGTGGCTGAGTTTAGTGAAAGCAACGTTTACACTCTATTATCAGCAAGGAAGATGTATGGAGCACCGACAAATTTTGGATTCTGCATCAAGGTACATCTTTATTGCTAAAATGAGTTTCAACAGTGAATAGCAATCATATGATTTTTTTTTTAATCTACATGGATGGAGGTTAAAAAAAATAAAAAGGGAAGGAAGCCACTTGTGGGAGAATTTTAGAGGCACCATTACAGCTGCTATGCTGTAGGAAAGAGAATAAATCAGAACATAAATAGGGCGTGTAAAAGAAAGCCAGACATTAATCATGGGTCACTTTATTCTTCAAATAGATTGGGAAAATCAAATTGGCAGAGGTAACCACAAGGAATAATTCACAGAATCCATTTGGGTCACTTTCCAGAACAACATAATGTGGATGCAACCAGTTGACCAGGCTGTTTTGAATCTGGTAATATGTAATGAGGCAGGTTTAATACATTATCTCAGAGTAAAAGATCCCTTACAAAACAATGATCGTAACATGGTGGATTAAAGCATTCCATTTGAGACCGAGAAACTTTGCTCAGAAACAACTGTGCTAAACTATAAGGGTTATCACAAAGAAATGAGGGCAGAGTTGGCTAGAGTGAACTCAGGAAAAAAAATAATGAGAAAGACAGTTAATGAAAAATGGCAGATATTTAAGAAATTAGTTTATGACTCACAACAAAGATATTTCCCAGTGAGAAAGAAGGATTCTACAAAGGGAATAAATCACCCATGGATAAATCAACCATAAATTGAAAAAAAAACATCCATTGTGGCACACATTAGTGGTAAAACCAGAGGACTGGGAAAGCTTTAAAAGCCAACAAAAGATGACCGAAAAATAATAACAAAGAAGAAAATAAATAGTGAGAGTAAACTAGCAAGTAACATTAAAAAAGGATATTAAAAGCTTATTGTTGAAACAGGAAGAGTGAGGTGAAAGTCAATATTGAACCCTGAGAGAATGAGGCTGGCGAAATAATAATGGGAAACTAGGAAAAGGCAGAAGAGTAAAATAAATACTTTGCATCAATCTTCATGGTAGGAGACACTAATAGCATTTCAAAAATACGAAATAATCAATGGGAGAAAGGGGTGGGAAGGTAAATAATCACAATAACTATCATGAGAAAAAAAGTACTAAGGAAGTTAATTGGACTAAATGCTGATAAGTCCCCTGGACCTGATGGCTTGCATCGTATAATATTAAAAGAAGTAGCTACAGTGTGATAGTAATCTTCCAAGAATCCTCAGATTATGGAAAAGTTACAAAGGATTGAAAAACCTCTTGTTGAACGAGGGAGGGAAATGAAAAATAGGTGAATAGTTAACTATCAAACTGTTAGCTTAACATCTGTCATTGGAAAATTATAGTATTTTAAAGGATATAATAGCAGAGCATTTAGAAATACGTAATTAAATCAAATTGAGTTAACATGGTTTTATGAAGGGGAAATCATGCCTGAGAAATTTATTAGAATTCTTTGAGGAGGTGACAAATAGGATAGCTGAAGGGAAACCAGTGGCTGTAATGGGCCAATTTTCTGCTGGCCAGACAGTCATTGCTCTAGCCTTGATGGGAGTTGCACATGGGGATCCTGCAAAATCCCCATCACAGCAAACTCTGAAGGAATTTCTTGGGAGATTGGATTTTCCACTGGGCAATTCCATCATGTCTGGAACCCTCTGAAACTCTCTATAAAATTTGGAAACTTCAGTTGGTTCTGATGAGTTTATGTAAAATGGTTACTGTGGAAAACTCCTGAGTAACTGTTAAACTGTTACTTAAACATACTTAACTCATTCACAACCCCGACCCTTACAAACCCAGACTCTGACCTGACAAATCCAAGGACCTGATAACCTTCTTCCCTCACCTCTCAGTCAATCCAGTCTCCCCGCTGACCTCTCTCGGATCTGATGCACCTCCTTTCTGGGACCTGTCACATACCCAAGAGCCAACCAACATACCCACCTTAATTTGCACAGGATCAACCCCCCTTCATCAACATTGGACAAGACCCCGCCCCCCATCTGACCCAACCACTCATTGAACCCAACTTGATACCAATGGAACAGACTACTTCCCCACTTCTCCTACCTAGCATCAGACACAGCCTCCATTTCCCTCTGCCTGTCAGACCAATTTAACCCGAACTACACACTTTTCCCACTCCCCATACCTTTGGACATAAACAGCAGACCTGACACCTCCTGTCCCCATCTCTGTCCCCTGATGTCTCCCCTGATGACCTACGCGAAATGCTTACCTGAGCCCTTACTACTGGGTATCCTTGGCACCTGGCACCCAACCCCCATCCCTGCTGGCACCCTGTCCCTTCACCATCCTGGCACCCTACTTACCTGGATCCCTGACCCCTGCCTATCTGCTATCGTATGAACTGGCACCCAACTCTTTCCCCAGCAGTAACCCTATTTACTTGGTGCCTTGATACCCTCCCCATCTGGTACCCAACCATCCCAGCGCCCTTAGCATCACACTCACCTTATGTATCAACAATTTGACAGCAGCTGTCAACATGGCTGTCTGGACCATCAAATTTCAGAATACGGCCCCTGACCGTTGCAAGAAGAGGGTGTGGTCCTCCTTCCGCTGACAGTTCTACACTATGGGAGTTCTGTGCAGTTTAGGGCAGCATGGTGGCTCAGCGGTTAGCATTGCTGCCTCACAGCGCCAGGGACCCAGGTTCGATTCCACCCTTGGGTGACTGTCTGTGTGGAGTTTGCACATTCTCCCCGTGTCTGCGTGGGTTTCCTCTGGGTGCTCCAGTTTTCTCCCACAGTCCAAAGATGTGCAGGGTAGGTGGATTGGCCATGCTAAATTGCCCATAGTGTTCAGGGATGTGCAGATCAGGTGGGTTATAGGGGGATGGGTCTGGGTGGGATGTTCTGAGGGTTGGTGTGGACTTGTTGGGCCAAATGGCCTGTTTCTACATTGTAGGGATTCTATGATTCTGCATTTCTGAGGGAGCCCTAAGCCAAATCTCCTCCTCAAAATGCAGAGGTCTTTTCTTTCGTTTAAAGGAAGGCTGCAGTTGGCAGTGTGTGTGATTGCCACTCATTGGAAAATCTGGCCCAATATATTTGATTTTCAAAAGGGATTTCATAACGTACACACTTAAGGCTACTATATATGATAAGAGCCCATGCTGTCTGGGGTAATATATTAGCAAGGATAGAGGATTTGCTAGCAGAAGATGGAGAGTTGGCTGAAGGGAGGCATTTTCAGGATGGTGACCTGTAACTTGTGGAGTGTCACAGGGATTATTACTGGGGCCCCAATTATTTACAATATGTATTAATGACTTGAATGAAGGAAGTGGATGTAATATAGCCAAGTTTGTGAATGAATTAAAAATCAGTGGGAAAGTGAGTGGTGAAGAATACTGAAAGTCTGCAGAAGGATATGCACAGGTTAAGTGAGTGGAAAAAAAGGGGCAGATGGAACATAATGTGAGGTTATGCACTTTGGCAAGAAGTATAGAGGAGCTGAATGTTATTTAAATAGAGAAAGATTGCAGAAAACTGCCACATACAGGAATTTAGGTGTCCTCAAACATGAATCACCAAACGCTAGCATACAATTTCAGCAGGTATATGGAAGGCAAATTGACTGTTGGCTTTTATTTCTAAGTGAGTGGAGTATAAAAGTAGGGAAATCTTGCAAAAACTGTACAAATAACTAGTCAGATCACACCTAGACACTGAACATTTTGGTCCCCTTTATCTAAGGAAAGATACAGTGGCATTGGGGGATGTCTAGAGATGTTTCACTGACCCTTGGTATGGAGGGATTTTCTTATGTAGAGAGGTTGAATAGTTTGGGCCTGTACTCTTAAGAATTTAGAAGAATGAAAGATTCTTAGAGGTAGTGAAGTGGTAGATGCTGAGAGGTTGTTTCCCCTTGTGGAAGACTCTAGAATTGGGGGAATAATCTTATAGTAAGCGGTTGGCCATTTTAGGACAGAGATGAGGAGGAATTTCCTCTCTCAGAGGGTAGTAAATCTGTCAAATTGTTTACTACAGAGGGCTGTGGCAGCTGGGCAATTAAATATATTCAAGGCTGAGAGAAACAGATTTTAATCAGTAAGGTAATCAAGGATTGTGTGGAAAAGGCAGAAAAGAAGAGTTGAGGATTATCTGATCAGCCATGATGTCACTGAATGGCTCTAAAAACTGCTCTGATGTTTTAAGGTTTATTCATCAATTTTCAAAGAATACTTTTCCATGAGATTTAACTCTATACGTTTAAGGTATCTAGACATAAATTTAAAGAAGATTGAAGGAGGTGTTGTCAGTAACAGGACTTAATTCAGGAGTATAACAGTGATTTGAAAACAAAGATTCCAACAAGTGTATGTATGTATTAATTCTTAAATGTAATGTGGCCTTCTAGCTTCACAAATCCAGACGTACCAGGGACCTGAAGTTACTTTGTGCAGAAGATGAACAGAGTAGAATGTGTTGGGTGACAGTGATTCGACTTTTTAAGGTAGAAGTATTCATATTGTTATAAAAGTGTAAAAGATTAATACATTTATTTTTTATTAAAAAATGCATTCTTCTAAAACATATATATTAGTAAAATGGCAAAAGGCAACAGCCTCTTGAGCTTTATTGTCTAGCAGTTTTGTGTGCACGCTTACATGTTCGTACTCATTACATATAATGCATTGAATGCTCTCAGCTTGTTAAATGTCTCTTGGCTAAATAGCAGTTTGGTACATAAGTTTGCCTAATTAATTTGAAGCATTGTAACAATTATAACATCTGTCATTAAATGTCCTTGAAAATTTTTTTAACTGACTTGCCAATGTATACATTTTCATTGTTTTATGTTTTGCATATTCTATTGTCTAGTGTATTTAATAAGCAAAAACTGAAATAACTGCAGATGCTGTAAATCAAGACCAAAACTGAAGTTGCTGGAAAAGTTCAGCAGTTCTGAGGAAGGGTCACTGGACCTGAAATGTTAACTCAGATTCTTCTTCACAGATGCTGTCAGACGTACTGAACTTTTCCAGCAACTTCTGTTTTTGTTCTGCATTTAATAAGTAGTTGAGGCGTTATGTTCTCATTTGTGGGGAAGTGTGAGCAAGGGTTCAAAAGCTGGCCTCAGTCCTGGGGCAGTTATGAGTGGTAACATTTACACAGCATTCAGTTGTGCTAAGCCAGCCAGTTTAATTCTGAAAAACAACATTTAACCTGAGTGCCAGGATGCAGTACAGTTTCATTCATTATGATGAAGTGTTCTGCTCTTTTTCATACCTAAGGAAACACAACAATCTGAGCAGCTGGTCAAAGATAAGTTTTTTTTCTGTGTTTTGACTCATTTAAGAAAGAACAAAGCAGTTGTTTCTCAGATGCTTCCCAGATCTGCATTTGGTAGCAATATCTCTGCACCAAAGTCATTAAAGCAGCAGCTAAACTAAATGAATTAATTAAAGCAGTTATGAAGACACAGAATACTGGAAATATTCAGCAGTTCAACTGAAAGCTCACAAACATGAAGTGTGGTCTCTGTATCCGTTTTTAAGGATGTTGTCAGGATCTTCATGGTTGAGTATTTCACAGAGTGCTTGGTTTTATTTCAGATTTCCAACTTAGTTTTGTTTTATTAGTATATATAGCACCTCATTTCCAGTTTCCCTTAAATAATTATTTAGTAAAAGGCTGACACTTAAAAGAAAAGGGTTCTTCTCTAAATGACACTATCAGATTGATACATAATGTTATTTATAGTTATACCTGAGTGACTATAAAGTATATCTTCGCAGTGAGCATTATTTGCTCAATTATTTGCTCATTATTTGCTCAGAATTATTGACTAACAACATACTGATAGTCACTTTTATCACAGAGTGCTTTGATGCCAACACACCCACACCCCACCATGTTCTATCCCATCCTGGAATGAAACAAAGAACTGCAGATACTGAAGATCTGAAACAAAAACAGAAATTGTTAGGGAAACTCAGCGGGTCTGGCAGCATCTGTGGAGAGAAAGCAAAGTTAGCGTTTCGAGTTTGGTGACCCCTCTTCAAAATTGCTGGATTGCTTCTAGTTGACCTGCTGATATTTGGTGTGATTCCCCCTGTAAATGGCCAAGGGGACATACTGTTTGATACAGTCTGCCCGTCATTGGGACATATAGCCTACATAACATACATTACATCAGCACTGAGAGTCTCAGATAGTATTCTGTTGTGTGCTAGGTCAATATTTTCCTGGCATGATGAAAACATCCTGTTTTGTGGAGAAGACAACCATGTGTTGGTTATTTTGTAGTGGCAGCCTGGGACAACGAGCTTCACTTGTTTTCAAGCCTTTGAGATACCTTCCTTTCACTCAAGGTAGACTTGGCACCGCTAATGGCCACGAGTAGTTGACATAGGCACTTTGATGAGTTTTTGCGAAATAGCGCAGGTAATAATTTAATCAAGGTATCTGTTACTATGCAAGGAAAGCTTTAATATGCACTATCTCAGCATCAGGCTAACATGGTAAACAGATGACTAGGCCTGTAGTCATGAGATTTTCATTAAGATTGGACTTGTAGTGCATGGAACTGTAGGAATCCTTATGCCTTCAATTGTCATGTAAACATTGCTTAGTACTAGTTGATACCTGGTCATTAGTGAAGTAGAGATCTCTACTTTTTCAAGAAAATTCATATCTCCCTGTTCAAGTCTTTTAACAGAAATACATGCCAATGTGTCTGCTGTAATCTGTCCTTTCCTTTTTATGTATTCAGTTGCAGCATTAAATCTCATTAACCTCAAACAAAATTTCTAGAAACAAAGAACAAGGTCTTAGAATGTTCGATAGGCCATTTAGGAGCGAGTTACAGAGGAATTTCTTTGATCAGAATTAATCCTTGGAATTATCTGCTCCAGAGGGCTATGGAAGCTCAGGCATTGAGATTGATAGATTTTTACATAGTGCAGCAATATAGAGCTAAAGTAGAAAATCAGCCATGATCTCATTGAATGACAGAATGAGCTCAATGGTCTGAATGGTCTACTCTAAATCCTGGTTCTTTTGTTTTAGTTTAACATGACATATGCCTGTTGTAATGTCTTTTCTGAGATTGGACTTTAATGGACTTTATTGGACTTTAATACTTTAATGACTGTCACACACAGCTGTTTCCTCATTGATTCCTTGTCTGACTAGGATATTGTCTGCACAACATGCCATTACATACAAGAGAGTTCAGATCTGCTCCTTACTAGGTTTTTTTTTACTGAGTCCAGTGCACCATGTGAATAATACCGCCCTATCTTTAAAAGTCATTTGTGCACCTGGACAAGCACTGTCAGTCAAGAAGTGCCCAGCATGGGTGCTGACGTTTGCCCTGGACATAGCAGGCAGAGGAAATTGGTACTTCACTCTTAATTACATTTGTGCAGTGCCATTGGCTCTATTGCTTGCAACACATTCCCCACTCAGTCTTACCATTTTGAAACCCTAACACCACTCACCCTTCATGTCTTATGTGCTGCCTATTCACTCACTCAGGACCCCTGCCCACCTACACCAAACGAGGTAGATGTGCTGACTGCTAAATATTTGGCTCCTTGTCCCTTATGAGGAGAGGATCATGACTTTGACCACCTTGAGCAGTGCTTAGACTGGTATTGGAGACTACCGTTGACTGTGCCGGAACCTCTGGGCGAACTCTATCCCCCTTAATTTGACCGAGGATCGCTGACAGTCATGACAAGCTTCCTGGCTTTTTGTCTGTGTTAAATGGCTAGGCAAGACAACACCAGAAGGAGCCTAGTATCTCTGGCAGAGGGGGCAAAGCACAAAAAAAAAAACAAGACAGCATGGGGGGGGGGGATGCTGTGAACATTTAGGTAGGCTCAGAGTGAGCGAGGGCTATGATACAGAGTAAGTAATTGGGGATGCAGCCCCATGGTGCAGCACTGAAGTATGGGAGCATACTGTAAGTGAATCGTACACATGCTGTGAGGGTTCCAAGAAGCTGGTGAGTGCCAGGTGACAATGTCTGTGGACATGGCGTATGTGTGGCCAGTTATTGATGGATCCTTCCTGAAATGTTGGCACCCAGTTTCCAACATGGAAGTCATTCAGAGCAAGTGGCAAGCTAAATCTGCCAGGTACTTGTTCTGGTTTCCTTGTTGAATTTACTTGACTTCTTGATTGTTTGTTGAGTTCGTAAGGTTGGGATTCTGAATATTAATGAGGCGAGTTGCACTTTTCTCAAGCAGTAATCACTGTCAATTGGTAACGCACCGCTGCCTAGTGAGAATCTTGCCATGCTGCTTGTGAAAAGCATAAAAGATTGTGTGAGTCGCTCTGAACATTGAGATGGCCCTCACTGCCCTTTTCGCCTAATTCTGACACACATCTTGCCATAGCCCACATTGCTCTGACTCTTCTCAGATTCTGCTCTGCCTTTTAGTTTTATATTTAAAAAATGGTAAAATTTAACTTCGTACATATCGAGACTTTGTTTGTTCTGTTACATAAGGTAATGGTGCTGAAGGAATTAATATTCATGTGTCATGAGCCCCCCCACAATCTAATGATATCTCACTGTTTTGGGCGGAGACAGTGATTTCTGCACAAAAAGAACAGATGTACAACTCCCAAGAATTCTTAATAAATGTGCCTAGCAAATTAATGACAACTGTACCTACTGCTATAATGCAATAAACTACCTTGTTATTCAAGGCAAGTCCTTCTTCTGTTTATAATCTACAGTGGCCTTTCATGTACCATTGATAGACTTAGATAGGCCCTAGACTCAGTCTGGATATTTTTCTTTAATTCATTAATGGGATGAGGGCGTCTCTGACCAGGCAGCATTTATTGCCCATCCCTAATTGCCCAATGGGCAGTTCAGAGTCAACCACATTGCTGCGAGTCTGGAGTCACATGTAGGCCAGACCATGTAAAGATGGCAGTTTCCTTCCCTAAAGGACATTAGTGAACCAGATGGTTTTTCTGACAATCGACAATGGATTCATGGGCATCATTAGATTCTGAATTCCAGATATTTTATTGAATTCAAATTCCACCATCTCCTATGAGTCATGCAACTTCACAACACTTTCCAATGAGTAATATCGACTACCTAGTTTACATATACTAAAGGTTTGCAACAATTGTGACTTCAAATTATTGTACTCATGTTAACCTAATAGGTTGTGAAGTATCAAATTGAGCAACCAGGTGCTGTTCCTTGATTGTCTGTTGACCATCATTAGGACATTGTAGGAACCCTGTACTAATTATAAAGGAAAAGAGGTGGGGTGTAGTGATAGAGGAGAAGAGGACTAGGATGTGGGAGGATGGTGGCGGCAAGGTGATGGTGGGGGAGGGCACTGCCAGCACATCTTCTTCCCCACTCCCCATTGCTGCCAAAATCTCACACATAACCACATCAAGCCTTGAGTTGCCCTTCTCCCTCGCATTAGGTATTACGCCTATTTGATTAATGTTTCCATATGGGCAAGAAAATGATTTGAATGCACATGTGCTGTTTCTGATAAACCCTTCTGGGGAGTACCTGCAGCAATTGTGAAGATTCCTGGTTCCATCACACAATCTACAAGTAGAACCAGTGTTGGAATACAGCAGTCTATTTTAATACTGTTCATCTTCAAAATTAAATAATTTATCTTTATGTGAAGAAAATGCTGAAATATCAAAATTAGATTTTTTTCTCTCTTAATACCTTGATGTGCACTGATGATTCAGATATTACAACAATGAGTTAGTCTTGTGGATCTGAGCACAACAACAGCACTGGTGTTAAACCTCTGTAATTGGGATCAGAATACAAAAGTAAAATACTACAAATACTAGAAATCTGAAATAAGAACATAAAACACTGGAAAGACTCTGCAGGTCAGCCAGCATCTCTGGACAGAAATAGAATTGACATTTCATGACTTATGTTCTGATGTAGGCTCACTAGCCTGAAATATTAATTCTGTTTCTCTCCACAGATGCTGCTTAACTTGCTAAATATTTCCAGTATTTTTGGTTATTATTATGCTTTGGTTTGGGGCTATGCTAGATTTTTCTTGGAGCAGTATTTTCATGATATTCACTTAGCATTAGCAGTATCCATGAGGGCAAACACAATATTTGTTTTTATGCAATTTACATTCTATTCAAGCTTCATAAACAAAAATCAGAATGTGTAGAGCAAGGAGTTAACATTTATTCTTCATCTAAACTGTTTCAGATTAATAAAGGGGAATATTGTTTTCTTTTTATTTATTTTACCATTTGAGTGAGTCTTTTTTTTTTCATAATTATTGCTCTGTCTTGAGCATCTCCTATGGATCAGAACCATTTGCATTGTCTCACTTAAAACTAAATCTTTTCTTTCTCATGTTGTTTAGTTGTATTTATCTTTGCCAGGGTGGAGTTTGGTCCTTGTATGAACATGGCATTGGCTGTTACATCAGGCATTAGCTTGCCGACCAATTCCTTATACTTTGCAGTATCTTGATGGCATGGAAAGCAATCCCACAACATAAAGCAAACAACATGCGTCAGAGCATTTTGAATTGTAGCCATTGCTGTATTTAGAAACTGTAACATTCCATCGTGCACAGCAAGGTTCCACAAAAAGTCATGATCAGATAATTTCTGCTTTATAGTGATGTTAGTTGAGAGATAAATATTGGCCTCAGAGGTTGGCTAGCACAGTTGGCTGGAAGGCTGGTTTAAGATCATACAAGTATTATAGAATCCCTACAGTGCAGATAGAAGCCATTCAGCCCATACCAACCCTCCGAAGAGCATCCCACTGAGACCCTGTAGGCCCGCATTTACCATGGCTAACCCACTTAACCTGACACTACAGAGCAATTTAACATGGACAATCCACCTAACTGTGTATTTTTGGACTGTGGGAGGAAATCAGAGCACCCAACATAAACCCACACAGATATGGGGAGAATGTGCAAACTCCACACAGACAGTCACCCAAGGCTGGTGCTGTGAGGCTGCAGTGCTAACCACTGTGCCACCGTACTGTGTGATGCAGTGTGATGTCAACAGTGTGGGTTGAGTTTTGTAATGGCTCAGATCACTGTGAAGATCCCAGCTTCCCGGACACATGGTGACCGTCAGGTTACACTCGCCACTTGTCTCTCTCGAATGAGAGAGCAGCCCCATGGTCCTCTGGGACTATGGCGACTTTACCGTATACCTCAATATTGGCCAGTACAGGAGGAAAGCTCCCTTGCTTCATGTTTAATAGCATATTAATAGGATATTTTAAATCCACCTGAGGGGCAACTGGATTTCTATTTAATGTCTTATTCAAAGGAACAACGTTCTGTCAATGTTGTACTGCAGTGTTGACCTGCATTTAGTGCTCAAGTCTCTCAAGTAACTCACAGGAAGAAGCATGAAAGAAGGTCTGCTCCCATTTTGTCTTTCCTTTATTTCACAACAGCTATGTATACAGATCCGATGTAGGAGGTCTCCTCAGTATCGGAGTATTTTGATGCTTTTAACCTTGTTGTTTATGGAACTTAACATTGATTATTTTTATTCTCAAATGTTCCCGCATCAAATGTTTAGAGATTATGATATATCATAATTATGTGACTTAATTCCTGACATTTTTTTTAAGATGTTCTTGCAGCTATTTATTCAGCTGGAATTGTATATGTCATTCCTCTGTACTGATGTTACTATTTCCCTCCCTACTATTCCCCTGTCACTGGTTAGCATTTATGTTATACTGTCATGAAATGTAAATGTGTGTCTACAAATTTGGAGCAGGATGAAAATCTAGTTATTATGTTTATCAAACTTTCTGATAGCATTCAGTATTGATATTTTCTGTATATGATAGACTCAGGTTACGCATAAATGCCAACATGCCAATGTTTGGCTTGTATGATTTGCATTTCTTATTTCAAAGTAATTTGTTGATCGTACAGATTAAGGGCAGTGAAAACAATGAATCAGTGTACTTTCATGATACAATGCTGGTTGAGGTCACACACATGTCCATAAGGCCAGAAACTCCAGTTCCCCATTACCAATCTGCCTGTCTTCTCCATTCCCATCTCACAACCAAACAAGCACAATTGTTAATCCCTTTAGTCCCTTTCCAAAGAGGAATGATGTTATGTGGTGTCTATATCACATACTTGCCTTGCACTAGACTGAAATCTTCAGGGCTCCAGATGCCTATTTCAGTCAATATAACAGTGTGCATACTTGTATCATGTCCCACCTAGGCTAGGGAGGTGGGTACGGCTAGCATTTGGAATTCGATTTCTTCTCAGACAGGAGAACAATGACTGGGGCAGACAGAATCAGACCACTGTGGTGGTGGTTGGAGGGGGGGCGGGGGTGGTGGGGAAGAATGTCCTTGTAAAGATTTGAGATTCAGTATATTTCCTGAACTTTGTTATACTATTATCACATAATGTGCAAATTAGCCAAAATGTTTATACATTTTCTGTTCCAACATCTCTTCTAGCGCCTGACAAGGAAATATTGATGAAGGATACATGAGAGAACCTCAGGGATGTAGCCTTTGTTGGCAATGAGCAGTTACAATTGTGTAATTGCGTAGTGTCTCCTATGATCATGTGTATTTGCAGCTTTCAGACTATGTGACAGCCTTCTTTGATTTGCATAATTCCATTAATCTTTTTATTTCTGCTTCAAGGCTGCACCTGATAAAAGTATGTCAATCCTCTGACATTCTTTATCATATCACTATGAGAAAAGAAATGTGTATCCAGAGCCAGATTTAAAAATAAGTTAGTTGCTGCTATTATAATTGCCTGTGATAGAGCTTGTTTATTCTTCCTTCAGACTGTACTGTGATTCAGTTTTGTTGAGTAAAGAGAAATTAATGCTATATAGATGTTAAGCATGTTGTAGACGTGCAAAGTTGAAGAATTGTATAAATCTTGAAAACACAAATATTGGAAATCATAAATTGCTTTACATTTACAGGTAGTCTGTCCATTAATGGTGGTAGGGAAACATAATTTTAAGGTGCAGCATAACTGCATTTTAGTAACTTTACTTTTCTGCTTATTTTGGTCTTAACTCTTCAGATTTTTAAAAACAAATCTCTTGTTTTACAGTATGGAATACAACTGTACCAAAACTATAAAACACCACAGAAAAGGAGAGATAGCCTTACTTCACTGAACTCATCACCAATGGTATGAAATTCAAAATACAAAACTGGGAAAACATTAGAGTATGATTTTGTAGTTATTAGATAAAAAACTCATGAATTAATATAAATCGAAATATAATTTTGCATTTCCTCACAAGAAAAACAAGCATAATTATTCATTTCTATGTTAATATGCCTCGAAATATTAAATGATCTCTTCAATCCATTTATTTGAAACATTTGTCAAGGTGTTTGTTAAACAATAGTTTTAGCACATTGTTCAAAAATACAATTGAAAGGTGAGTTTCATTCCTGGAGATTGTGTTGAGCTTTGTCAGAATAATATAGGAAACAGAGGGTGATGTAGTCTAGTGGAAGTTGCGCAGAGTATTAAATAATAGGCAACTGGCAGCTCAATGCCATACCCACAGATTGAGTGGATGTGTGCTACAGAGAAGACCCTAACCTGCATTTTGTCTCCTCAGTACAGAGAAGACTACATAGTGAGGAGTGAATTTTGATTGATACATTGAAAAGTAAAAGTAAGTTGTTTAACTGACAAGAATTGTTTACGTATTTGAATAGTAGAAAGCGAGGAGTTAAAAATGGAAATGTTGATTCTCCTGCAATTTCTTGTGAAGGTAAGGGGATTTTGCAGGTGAAGAGCATTAGACCAGGGTATTGCAGAAGGAATGGTCTCTTTGGTATGCTGAAAGGGGAAAGAGACATGGAAAATGGATTTGGTGGTGGTGGAGGTGATGAAGAATGATTCATTGACTGTAAAATCTGATGGTGTGGAAGATGAGAAGAAATGTAATCTTAACATGATTCTGGGAGAATCTAGGCTTAGATATATTGAATTAAGTCCAGGAGGAAATGTAACTTTTTATGCCATCCCATACCAAACCGAACATGATTCTGCTGCTAAAAAAAGAGAAAATTTAATATCATTCAAATCTGTCATTGCTAAAAAAGATACAGGCTGTTCTTTGTTATTTTCACCATATTATCTTTGTAAGAATACAGAATAGATGTTTTTATTTTGGTTTATTCTGAAGCAGTATTCTCTTGAACTTTGACTTGTATTGATAATGTGTGATGAACATCACTTATGGATTATGCAGACCTGTTTTCTTTTTCCAAATAAACCATTTTTTATAAATATCACAGTCAAAAATAATTTTGGAAATATTTATTTTGCCTTCATAGAGAAGCGTCTCAGAAAATTCTCTGGTAGCTATGGACTTCTCTGGACACAAAGGAAGAGTAATTGAAAATCCGATGGAGGCACTTACAGTTGCTACTGAGGAGGGGTTGGCATGGCGGGTAAAGTATTGGTTTGAACATTAGCCAACACATGATGTTTTGTTGTATGATTGATCGAGAAAATAATTCAGAGAATAACTTGAGTTATACTATGTTTTAATTACCAAATGTACTATATAATCTGTTTATTGTGATTGATATTGGCCATTAGCCCCACATGATCAGCGCAATTCACTGTTCAGTACAACAGAAGGTAATAGTCTCAGATGAATACTGGTGCATGATTTTAAAAATGAATTACTGAGCAATGATGCTTAACTCTCAGTAGCTATGCAAGAATCTGTTGGTCACCGACATAAAAATTATTCATCTTCAAAGTCCAATATATATGGTAAATTTGAGAACTGTGACCAGGCATTACAGTATATACAGCCAAAAAATAAACAGAAATCAGTTGATTCACATTTCACATCTGAGTTCCCTTCACAAGATGCCTCATCTGAATATTTACTTTTTTTGTTTTGGTTTATAGTTTTTCAGCAGTTATACCTGTCCATAGAGCTGCTCTCCCATTAGAGAGAGATGATGAGGTGCAGAGCTGGATGAACACAGCAGGCCAAGCAGCATCATAGGAGCAAAAAGGCTGATGTTTCGGGCCGAGACCCTTCATCAGAAATGGGGGAGGGGAAGGGGGTCCTGAAATAAATAGGGAGAGAGGGGGAGGCGGATAGAAGATGGATAGAGGAGAAGATAGGTGGAGAGGAAACAGACAGGTCGAAGAGGCGGGGATGGAGCCAGTAAAGGTGAGTGTAGGTGGGGAGTTAGGGAGGGGATAGGTCAGTCCAGGGAGGACGGACAGGTCAAGGGGGCGGGATGAGGTTAGTAGGTAGGAGATGGGGGCGCGGCTTGAGGTGGGAGGAGGGGATAGGTGGGAGGAAGACCAGGTTAGGGAGGCGGGGACGAGCTGGGCTGGTTTTGGGATGCGGTGGAGGGAGGGGAGATTTTGAAGCTTGTGAAATCCACATTGATACCATTGGGCTGCAGGGTTTCCAAGCGGAATATGAGTTGCTGTTCCTGCAAACTTCGGGTGGCATCGTTGTGGCACTGTAGGAGGTTCAGGATGGACATGTCGAGATGGAGACAGAGAGGTCCAGGAGGGAGAGAGAGGTATTGGAGATGGTCCAGGTGAACTTAAGGTTGGGGTGGAAGGTGTTGGTGAAGTGGATGAACTGTTCGAGCTCCTCGTGGGAGCACGAGGCGGCGCCGATACAGTCATCAATGTAACGGAGGAAGAGGTGGGGTTTAGGGCCAGTGTAGGTACGGAAGAGGGATTGTTCCACGTAACCTACAAAGAGGCAGGCATAGCTTGGGCCCATGCGAGTACCCATGGCCACCACCTCTCTCTCCTTCCTGGACCTCTCTGTCTCCATCTCGGGCAACCACCTAGAAACCGATATCCATTTGAAGCCCACCGACTCCCACAGCTACCTAGAATACACCTCCTCCCACCCACCTTCCTGCAAAAATGCCATCCCCTATTCCCAATTCCTTCGCCTCCGCCGCATCTGCTCCCAGGATGAGGCATTCCACTCCCGTACATCTCAGATGTCCTCATTTTTCAAGGACCGCAACTTCACCCCCTCAGTGGTCGAGAACACCCTCAACCGTGTCTCCCGTATTTCCCGCAACTCATCCCTCACACCCCGTCCCCGCAATAACAACCAAAAAAGAACCCCCCTCGTCCTCACGTACCACCCCACCAACCTCCGGATCCAACGCATCATCCTCCGACACTTCCGCCATCTGCAATCCGACCCCACCACCAAAGACATCTTTCCCTCCCCACCCTTATCTGCTTTCCGGAGGGACCACTCTCTCTGTGACTCCCTTGTCCGCTCCACACTCCCCTCCAGCCCCACCACACCCGGCACTTTTCCCTGCAACCGCAGGAAGTGCTACACCTGCCCCCATATCTCCTCCCTCACCCCCATCCCAGGCCCCAAGAAGACTTTCCACATCAAGCAGATGTTCACCTGCACATCTGCCAATGTGATATACTGCATCCGCTGTACCCGTTGTGGCCTCCTCTACATTGGGGAAACCAAACGGAGGCTCGGGGACCGCTTTGCAGAACACCTACGCTCAGTTCGCAATAAACATCTGCACCTCCCAGTCGCGAACCATTTCAACTCCCCCTCCCATTCCTCAGACGACATGTCCACCCTGGGCCTCCTACAGTGCCACAACGATGCCACCCGAAGTTTGCAGGAACAGCAACTCATATTCCGCTTGGAAACCCTGCAGCCCAATGGTATCAATGTGGATTTCACAAGCTTCAAAGTCTCCCCTCCCCCCACTGCATCCCAAAACCAGCCTAGCTCATCCCCGCCTCCCTAACCTGTTCTTCCTCCCACCTATCCCGTCCTCCCACCTCAAGCCGCACCCCCATCTCCTACATACTAACCTCATCCCGCCCCCTTGACCTGTCCGTCCTCCCTGGACTGACCTATCTCCTCCCTAACTCCCCACCTACACTCACCTTTACTGGCTCCATCCCTGCCTCTTCGACCTGTCTGTTTCCTCTCCACCTATCTTCTCCTCTATCCATCTTCTATCCGCCTCCCCCTCTCTCCCTATTTATTTCAGGACCCCCTTCCCCTCCCCCATTTCTGATGAAGAGTCTCGGCCCGAAACATCAGCCTTTTTGCTCCTATGATGCTGCTTGGCCTGCTGTGTTCATCCAGCTCTGCATCTTGTTGTCTTGGATTCTCCAGCATCTGCAGTTCCTACTATCTCAGAGAGAGATGATTGTTGGTTGTTTAACCTTAAGGTCACCATTCTGTTGGTGAGGGGGGAAGTTGAGAGGGAGAATCCTTTGTGGTAATCTCAGCCAGTGCAGAAATTGAACTGACAGTGCTGGTGTCACTGCTTCACAAACCAGCATGTTGCAAATAGGAGTTAATCATTTCTTAAAGAACATTTCAACATTTCCTCTTTCATATGAAGCATGGTCATTTACTTTGCTCCTTTGATTGCTCTTAATCAAAAACAGAGTTTTATGTAGAGAATATTCAGGTCATTGGTGGATTGAGTGCATGTGATTCTTTGCAGTTAACTATGATCAGTTAAGAACATTTAGTAACTTATCAGTAATGATAGTTACCCATTCATGTGCTGAGCCCCGTAGATTAGGACACAGTCATGTAATATTACAACAGTTCAAAATTTATCCTCCAAAAATAATAGAACTATTATAAGCAATTTACAACCATTCTAACTGTTACAAACAAGTGACACATTCCAGTCTAACTCTGAAGTAATTGTATAGAATAGCATACAAGTGATTTCATGCTTATAATTCAAGTTGAATATATTTAATACAGAAATTGATATTTTAAAATGTAAATTCTTGTGAAAACAGAGGAGAAGCTGTCATCGTTTGAACGCATATGGAAGTCCAACCACATCGCAGAGCACTACATCGTGTCAAGGTTGTTTCAATGTTTAATTTGTACTGCAAGTATGATATTACATAAGTCAAGCAAATTATTGATGTTAGTTCATTTTAAATGAAAGATATTTGCTTATGCACTTAAAATAATTGGTAATAGTGGAAATAATATTAAAGAATTGAAGACTATTTGCTAAAATTCAAAAATTCAAATTCTTGCCAGTTATGTTGTGACAGTGCTGGGTCGGGTTACTTTTGAGGCATAGCTAAATGATTGTGTTTTGTGCTAATTCAATGACCTTTCTGGAAATTCATTTTTCCTTTATAATTTAGCCATTCATAGGATGCAGCTATGGTTTCATCACCGACTCTCCAGAGATGAAGCTCAAAAACTTTTAGAACAACAAGGTCTTGTGGATGGGTAAGTATCAATTTAAGTGTGAAGGAATATTATGATTGGATGAGACATTGTTTCCATAATTGTAATTATAATAGCAAAAGCTTCCAGCTAGTTTGATTTATGCAAGAAACTGGCAAATACTTTGTGGTTGCTTTCACTTAAAGCTTTCATGAGAAAGTGGAGCTGAAATTGGTCTTTTGGCCTTTTAAGAGCCTAACATTCAAAATGTTGATAGTTAAGTGTTAGTATAAAGTAGATGAGATTCTGTCTCCTGCATGAGTTGATTTTCTTGTGTAAAGTTATAATAATGATTGTTTGGAAGTCTTGGCTTATTTTTCATTTGTTGATATTGAGGTCTTCACTTCTAAACTATTCTTTATATGTCACTTAATTAAAAAGGCATAGTTTTGTTTCACCTCTTTCCTCTACTTCGTGTAGCCATTTAGGTTGGGTACATAATGTCAGTGTTGCATCTTGATACTTCTCTTGTATTTTGATAGAAATATTTATATTCTAAATTTATCTTTTGAGTTGTATAAAGGTTCCATTTTTAACCATTAACGTTTCATGTTCATTTTTTTTTCAGTTTGCAGATACTGGATTCTTTGCTGTTGCTACTTAAGAATGCATGTCTTAATATATGGGATTTGGAATAGCAACTGAAAATATTCAGAGCCCTGCATCAAACTTACTTTTTCATAACCCTTGTCCCATTAGGGGAAAATGACTATAAAATGGCTTTATTTGGTATTAAAGGAAATTGACTTGCAAAGTAATATGATGGTGAATAAATTTTACAATAAGATATCCTGAAATATCAACTGAACATTGCCTCATAGTTTATTATAAGCATATATTTAGATTTGTTCTTTAATCTCCACTATTTGATAGTTGAAACTTGGCTCGGGCTGAGTCAAAGGGCATTAAAAGTGGATTTGTGATGTCCTTAATTGCTTAAGGGCAAGTTTACAGGAGGAATTTGTAGATGAGGAGCAGGTTTTTAAATTTAATCCACTTGGATTGGAACAACAATATTGGGGGTGATGGGTTAACAGGATTTATGTTTGGGATTTCGTGTAGACTTTTACATAGCCCACAGATTGTGGAATGAAAGATCATGAGGCTGCTTTTTATGGCATATAACAAATTGAAACTAGAAATGACAAGTCTGGATTAGTGTTTAATGTTGATAGGGATAGTAGGGTAAAGCATTTTAAATAATTATCAGGGTGAGTAGTCTTGTTAATGTGTAGGATGTTGGGTTATAAAGTATAGCTCTGGATTGAATAGAGTCTCAAGGTTTTGAGCACTTTGATTCAGCTTAAGCAGGTGATCAGGGAGAAAATGGAGCTGGTGACGAGAGCAGAGTCCTTGGTAGTTTACAAACATACAAACAAACAAATTAGGAGCAAGAGTTGTTCATGTGATCCAAAATTCAATAAGATCCTGACTGATTGGACTACTTTCTTGCCTGCCCTCCATAACTTCTCGCCATCTTCTTGAGAATCTTGTCTACCTCTATCTTTTGAGGAAGAAAGTTTCAAAGACCCAAGACCCCACTGAGAAATAAGTTTCTCCTCATTTCTGTTATAAATGGGTGACATTTCTTTTGAAACAGTGACAAATAGTACTAGATTCTCCCATAAGAGCAAACATCCTTTCCACAACCACCATGTCAAGACCACTTAGGACTTTGTATGTTTCAATCAATTCACCTCTAATTGTCCTAAACTGTAGTAGATACAAGCCTAGCTTGTCTCATCTTTCCTCATGAAACAACATGCCTATTCCATGTATTAGTCTAGTAAACCTTCTGTAAACTGCTTTCAACATACTTATATTCTTCCTTAAATAAGAAGATCAATGCTGTACAAAGTACTTAACATGTGGGCTCACCAGTGTCTTGTATAACTGAAGCATGACCACCCTACTTTGTTTTCAATTCCTTTTGCAATAAATGATGATGCTACAAAATAACACATTGCAATTCATGCACTCAGACACCCAGATCCCTCTGCATCTCAGATCCTACAATCTTTTGCCATTTAGTTAATGGGCTTTTAAAAAATTCTTTCTGCAACAGAAGATATTAGTCCCTGATGAGTACTGTTTAATGAATTTAAAATGAATTACTGAGTAATTATGCTTAACACTCAGCAGCTATTCAAGAATCTATTGGCCACCTACATAAATAAATTTCTTCAAAGTCCATTATATATGAAGAGATTTGGTACATTTGAGAACTGTGACCAGGCATTACAGTATATGCACTCAGACACCCAGATCCCTCTGCATTTCAGAGCCTGCAATCTGTTATTATTTAGATAATGGGCTTTTTTAAAATGCTTTCTGCCAAGATGAACTGTTTCACATTTTTCCACATTATACTTCAATTGCCAACTCACTTGACTTCTAATGTCCCAATGTAAACTTCATATGTGCTCTTCACAATTACTTTCCTACTATTGTTGTATCATCAGAAAATTTGGTAACCATACCTTCAGCCCCTTCATCCAAGTCACCTGTATAAACTGTAAAACATTAAGATTCCCAGCATTAAACCTATGACATGTCATTCATTAAATCTTGCCAATTTAAAAAGACCCATGCCCGAAACGTCAGCTTTCCTGCTCCTCTGATGCTGTTTGGCCTGTTGTTTTCATCCAGCTGTACACCTTGTTATCCCATTTATGTCCATTCTGTTTTCTGTTTTCTGTTATCTAGTCAACCTTACATCCATGACAATTGGTTGCATCTTAGACCATGAGCTTTTTATGTTCTGCAATAATCTTTGATATGGCGTCTTATCAAATGCTTTCTAGAAATCCATGTACAGTATATCTATGGTTCCCCTTATCCACAGGAGATAGTATTTCTTCAGAAAACACCAACAACCTTGAGTTTTTACAAGAGCTCCTGCTAAAAAGTCTCTAATAATACCTTCTGCAAGTTTCCCTAAACAGATGTGAAGCTAACTGACTTGTAGTTTCCTGCTTCTGCTCCTTTTTCAATAAAGAAGTTACATTTGCTATTTTTCAATCCAGTGGAACTTTTTCTGAATCTTGGGAATTTCCAAAAATAAAAATCAACTCATAATTATTTCACTAACCAATTATTTTAAGACACTAGGCTGAAATCCATTTGGATCCAGCTCCAACAGTTTGTTCAGTACTACTTCTCCGGTTATTGTAATTTTTCTGGAGTACCTATCTTTGATTCACTTCCTGATATATACTAATTCCGGGATGTTATTTGTTTCATTTATAGTGAAAACTGATACAAAATTGCTGTCCAATTTATGTGTTGTCTCGTTATTTTCCATTACTTATTCCCAAGACTTGCTTTCCTTTAGATTTTTTTTGTTTCTAACTATTTATAGAGCCCTGCAATCTGTTTTTGTATTTCTGGCTAGATTTATAAAATTCTCTAATTTTTCCTTCCTTATTAAGCTCTTTGTCTTTTTGTTTAGATTATTCCCAGTCTTCTGACCTGCCACCCATCTCTGGAAATATATGCTTTTTCTTTTAAGAATGTTACAATCTTTAACTTTTTTTTTAATCTAACCATGATTACTGTGTCCACTCTTGGAACTTTTCTTTCTCATTGGAATATACTAATATTTGTATTCTTAAATATCTTTTTTAATGCCTACAGCTGCATCTCTGTTGAACTATTTTAAAACCTAGTTTACCAGTAGACTTTAGATAATTCTGATTTCAAGTTAAGTTTTAAGAAAAAACTTGTCTCCAACACACTCTTCTTTCCGTCAAACTTGAATGTGAAATTTAGTCATTCTGTTCCCTTAATTTTGAGATCATTAATTAGTCCTATCTCATTTGCACAGTACCAGCTCAGGCCTGCTCTTTGTTTGGCTCCAGGATGTGCTATTCTGAAAATCTATCCTGAAAATATTCTATGAACTCTCATCTACACTACCTTTTACTCACCTGATTTTTCCAGTATATATGTAGACTAAAATCCTTCATAGTTATCAGCATACCATTCTGACAAGCTCCCTTTGTTTCTTCCTTTATACTCAGTGTTGCCCTTTGTTAATTCTAAGGGGCCTGTTCATCACTCTTGCCTTTAAACATTTGCCTTTTAATATTTCTTGCCTTTTACCATTTCTCATTTCCTATCCAAACTACTTTTACATCCTTGCTTCCTGAACGCAAGTCACTCATCTCTACTGTGTTACTACAATCATCATTATGACCTCCTCCTTTTCCTAGCTTTCTGTCCTTCTTAAATGTCATGTACCTTACAATATTCAGGTCCCAATCCATGTATTCTTGCAACATGTCTCTGTAATGATTATCATATCAGCTTATTTATTTCTCTTTGTGCTATAAGTTCATATATTTTATTGCAAATGCAAAAGCATTCTGATTCTGTTTTAGTGTTTTTCCTTTTATTATTTTTGTAACCATAAGACCGTTAAATGTAGGGATAGAATTAGATCATTTAGCCCATTGAATCTGCTCCACTATTCAATGAGATCATTGGCTCAACTGGTAATCCTCAACTTTACTTTCCAGCCACTCCCCATAACTTCTGTTCCAGTAATGATTAAGAATCTGTTTCAGCCTTGAATATGCTTAATTACCCAGACTGGACAACCATCTATAGTAAAGAATTATGCAGATTCACTGAGAGAAAAGAATACCCTCCTCATCATTGCCTTAATTAAGTGAGTTCTCTTGTCCACAAGGGGATACAACTTCCCTGCATCTGCTCTCTCCAGCTCCATGAGAAACTTATATGGTTCAATTAGGTCTGTACTCATTCTCCTAAATTCCAATAAGTACAAGCGCAACTGATCCAATCTCTCCTCATAATAAGTCACTCCATATCTGGAATCAGCCTAGAGAAATTCATTTAGACTGCCTACAGTGCCAGCATATCTTTCCTTAGATAAGGGGCCAAAACTGTTTACAGGATTCCAGGTCTGGTCTGAGTAGTGCCTTATAGTTTTAGCAAGACCTTCCTTTTTTGTATTGCATTCCCTTTGAAATAAAACCATCAGTCTATTTGCCTTCAGTTATGAACTGAACTTGTTTGCTAGCGTTTTGCGATTCATGCGCAAGGACCTCAATTCTCTCTGTATTGTAGCTTTCTGCAGTATTTGCCTATTTAATATTCAGCTCTTCCATTCTTTCGTCAAAGTGTATAATCTCACATTTTACCACTTCGTTTTCTATCTGCCAATTTTTTTGCCTACTCACCTAACCTGTCTATATCCCTCAATAGACCTAGTTGTTAATCATGACTACTTGCCTTCCTACCTATTTTGGTGTTATCCTGCGGCCTTACTTGTTGATTTACTCTTAGAATTGTACATTCCATCTCTTCTTGTCATTAATCTGCTGATCATTTCCTGTCTTAATATCTTTCTCTTTGGCCTTGATTCTATTCTTTAATTTACCAAATTTGATCCCTTCACTCCACTATTCAGTTTATAACCTTCTTTACTTGCCTATCTATGCAACTCATCATGAGTTAAAGTTTTCAGATAAACAATAATGTGTAAATAACAAAGATTTATTTTCCTTCTTTTTATCCCACGTAGGATGTTTTTACTACGGGACAGTCAAAGTAACCTGAAAAGTTTTGTTTTGTCACTGTGCCATTGTCAGAAGATAAGGCATTTTCAGATTGTACCGGTAAGTAGTTGGAGACAAAAGCTCAGTTGTTATTATTTATACCAATAGATTATGATCATAGATCATAGAATCCCTACACTGTGGAAACAGGCCCTTCAGGCCAACAAGTCCACACTGACCCTCAGAGCATCCCACCCAGACCCATCCCCCTATAACCCACCTCATCTACACATCCCTGAACACTGCGGGCAATTTAGCATGGCCAGTTCACCCAGCCTGCACATCTTTAGATGGTGGGAGGAAACTGGAGCACTTGGAGAAAATCCACGCAGACACAGGAGAATGTGCAAACTCCACACAGACAGTTGCCTGAGGGTGGAATCGAACCCGGGTTCCTTGGCGCTGTGAGGCAGCAGTGCTAACCACTGAGCCACTGTGCTGCCCTGGAGCCTGTGTTTCACAATAAATGATTCTCACATGGCAAAAATGCCATTTTAATATGCCGTAGTGACAAAGTGACGGTTTTGAAAGAAAAAATACTACTTTGTTCTCCATAACTGTTATAGTTCTCAAAGTTCAATCTGCAAAGTGCATCTTAAGTTACCAGCATGTTCAAGAATCTTCAGCTTTTCAATCGTTGCTAGAGATAATAATGGATGCAACTGAAAAAAAAAGCATATGAGTATCAACGGGTTTTGTACTAGTGTTAGGTATTGATCACCTAGCAAGCATTCCCATATCTGAATGTAGACAAAATACAACTAATACTTGTTCTAGTACAGAAGCTTTGGATACTTAACAGTTACAGAATACACTGCAGGATCCATTTTCTTGGGTTTTGTATTGATTATAAAGAGGACAGCCAGCTGGACTTCAAAGAATGAGTTCCCTAATTGGGCTGTTAATCTGGTCCAGTCAGGGAGCTCTGGCTGACAAATAAAAAGAAGAATGTCTGACTCCGAGCTGGCTGGCCGTAGCCACTGTTCTGTGCACTAGTCAAATAAAGAGTGACTTGGTGACGGGACCAGGCCTCTGTGCCATTATCTTAGTGTGTCAGCCTCGGACTGGGCCTCCACATGTGTACTGCGCCTTCATATGTGAACCAACAGCTTTGTGCATAGGCCGAAAAAAAAATAAAGAGTGTCAAAGGTGATGGCACACTCAGACCTAACTCTGAAGGACTTTTCATGTATAAATAAAGGGTGATTTAGTGACGGGATACTGGCCTCTGTGGAGTGATTTCAGATTTGCTAAGAGGAAATTAACTATAGAAAAGTGGAAAACTGAAAGCGACTCTATACTTCAGCTTTCCAGTAATAAATATAATAATTTTCAAGTACACGCTCAAATTCTAATTTTTTTCTTAACTTTATGCTGAATATCTCACGCAAATTTTCTCTTTTTCAAAGTATGCAAAGTTAGAAGATTCCATCATTCCTCAGGGTTCACCTTAGTCTAGAATAATATATACACAAGGACGTCTAGCATCAGTCCTCAGTTCTCCTGGAAGAACCACATCAGTGGTGACACCAGGATGTTCAGAAACTAGACTTCAGTGATACATATGTGGATTCCTGCCACTGGAATTTGAGAGGATAGACTCCACATTCAAAACCGTTTTGTAGGCCTTCAGCAGCAAACGTGCTTTTCTGATATGGGTTATCAAGTTGCATCCAGGAGAAACACTAGAGCAGTGTCTTACAAACTGTGGGTCATGACCCTCAATGGGGTCACCGGCCAAAAGTTTGGAATTGTGGTCTGCAAGGCAGCAACATCAGTATCAATCTCTGACCAAATGCTAAGAACTATACCATAGTTTCACAGTTTTTGAAACAAATGTGAGTGCCATAAATGCCCAATCTTACAGACGTGAATCTTTTCCTAAAAATTCCAACTGGAAAGCGGATCACTTTTACTTAAAATCCCTGTGTATTAAACAACTTTTGCTCCCGCTGACTCTCATAGGGCATCCTCCCCTCATTCTCCCACAGGAATGGGGTATTGCCTACTAACATGCGTTAAAATGAAGTCCTTAGGAGAAATGCTTTGGGAAGCACTGTGGTCGAATAAAGGCAGAGCTTGGGACCAAGATACGTCATGTAAGGCAATGAGCGTGACTGCTATAGTACTCAGCTAAGGAAGTTGCTCATGAAACTTCATTTACATGCAATGTGGGCAATTGTAACCTGACAGATATATTGCAGAAGGGTTCAAAAGTACAAGCGGAGGGCAGGCAATTTTAAGACAGAATATCCAGAAAAGTGGCGTAAATTTCTTGACACAAAAATTTGTTCCCTCAGTTATGAATCAGACATATGCCACAAGCTAGAAAGTGGGGGAAAGAAACAAGTGGCAAGTTCACAGAAAACCAGCTGTGGCTACCAACAATTAATTACCCAATGAATGGGGACCATAAAGAATAGGTGTTCTTTTGGAATTGATAAAATATGCTGTATTCTTAGCACAAGTAACAAAATGAAAAACATGATGTTTGCTGCTGTTTGTAGCCAAATATTTTATGGCGTAATTATTTGTCCAATTTTATTCACTATTGAGCAGCTTTGTTGAGATTTGTCTTTTAATTACAAGCAGTTGGATGGATCTTTCTGCTAATAACAGTTTGTGAGATTTGAAATTATCACATATGGACCATTTGAATTTCTATCCATTTGATAGTGACGATAGCTTAGGGGTAATCACTCCACGAGATGTTGGGAGTTGAGGGGAGGAGGCAGGATCTCCATGAGGTACTATAGTTGATATGAAGATTGAACCCATGCTGTTGGCTTTAATTCAGACCACACTGTAGTCACTTAGCCAACTGACCTAACCTACACCCTGAGAAATGTTAATAATCCACTAAATAAGTCATGTGGAAAATGTTGCAGTTTGTTCAGAAATACCTTTAAACTTCCACCACAGAGAAATGTTTTGTCAAAGTGTTTACAGACTTGCAATTATTGAAAGATTACAGAATAGCAGGGCTGACTTATACAGAAACTACTGCATTCTTACAACTGCATTGGAACTTTCTCATCAACTCTGATGTATTCGACACAGCTAGAAGAAGATGGAGAATTGTACTATTCCCTGGACGAGGGTCACACCAAATTTACTGATCTTATCCAGCTTGTGGATTTTTACCAACTCAACAAGGGCGTGCTGCCTTGCAAACTGAAACACCACTGTGCTCGAATTATACTGTAATCTCTGAAGCCTATCTCAGCTCATCTGGAGTTTGTGAATAACAAGTGCAGTGTGGGCTGAGGACAAATACATCAGAACTCTGCAAGGGAACTTGTTAATGTCCTTTGTGTCTCAAAGCAAGTAGAGACTGAGAGGAATCAGATTGTTAACTTCATACAAGTCAGAACCTGTGGCTGATTTCATCCGATTTGTACTTGAGGATCACTATTTCTGTTAAAAACCAGATTATCAGAACAAAGTAAATAAATGAATTTAAGCTATAGTGCTCAAGGGAAGCAATCTTGAGAAATCCGTTTCTGCTTAACAAGTGATTTTTTTATGATACTTTGAAGTGGCATTATCGTTCATTGCATACCATGAATATTAAAGTGCAATGTTTGCCAGGAGGTTGATTCATCAAATGAAGAAAATGATCATTAGGACTATTAGCAAAACAATCTTAATTGCTAATTTCAAAGTTACCAGATTCAGACAAGTGCCTTTTTGTTTGGAAGTTGAGAACTGTGCTTTGAATTAACTTTTGGTGGATATTGTGTGTGAAGGAAAATGATTGCAGTGTATTTGTACATACAGCATCGCTTTGCACAATGTAATTTTAAATATCAAACATTCTTAAATTGTGTTGAGTCACTTGATGATTACATCTTTATTTCCTTAAAAATATTACAAATGATCACCTAAACTGAGTTTTGTGGTTCATTATTGTAATTGAATACTTTTGCATTGTATAAAATACATTGATAGCAAATGTATTGTAGCAATGAAATTGACGTTCTTCACTGTTATTAAATAATTACTTGATCATTTCCTTATAAGTCTCATATGTAAATCTAAATGGTTGATTGTCAGAATAGGCTTTGTTATCAACAAAGTTGTTTGGAGACAGGTCCGCATGTTATGACCAGGTTGGGTTATAAATCTAACCCATGAGTGATGTCTGATGAGAGATGGCTTTAATAGGCTTTAAAATTAAAATTTAACTTGTTTCTCACAAACAGTGTTTGTACCTTTTTTTTAAAAGGTGTGTTAAAGAAAATTTATTGTAGTCTGAAGTATTTTCATATATCAAATATTGTGATCTGACCTAACAAGATGTAGAGCTGGATGAACACAGCAGGCCAAGCAGCATCAGAGGAGCAGGAAAGCTGACGTTTTGGGCCTAGACTCTTCTTCAGAGATGGGGGAGGGGAAGGGGATTCTGCCACTGAGGTCCTCCCGGATGGAGGTGGGTAACTTCTTCAAGGTAGGCATCCTTAGAAGAGGCTTTGCAGTGGGGTTAAAATTGTTACAGAGGTAGTAGGAACTGCCGATGCTGGAGAATCTGAGATAACAAGGTCTTGAGCTGGATGAACACAGCAGGCCAAGCAGGATCAGAGGAGCAGGAAAGCTGACGTTTCGGGTCCAGACCCTTCTTCAGACGTGGGGGAGGGGAAGGGGATTCTGCCACTGAGATCCTTCCGGGAGGAGGAGGATAACTTCTTCAAGGTAGACATCCTTAGAAGAGGCTTCGCAGTGGGGTTAAAATTGTTGCAGAGATAGTAGGAACTGCCAATGTTGGAGAATCGGAGATAACAAGGTGTAGAGCTGGATGAACACAGCAGGCCAAGCAACATCAGAGGAGCAGGAAAACTGACGTTTCGGGTCTAGATCCTTCTTCAGAAATGACCATGTCTTTTGTCATGATATTTAAAAACAGTTCACATCATGAGATCATTGTGAAAATGAAATAATTTATTTTGCAAATATAAATCAAAAGTAATCCTCTTCTCTAGACAATGGCAAATTTGCATTTTGAGCAGTGTATTTACAGTTAAAACATTCATCGTTTGTTTTAAAATAAATTTAACATCATAAAGTTAGTTTCACCCTCTAACGTCAAGAAATGCAGTCACTTTTGTGGTGGATTTTGGGTACTGAGGCAGATGGCTTGAATTAGAAGTTTCTTAACTTTCCAGACCCACTGCAGTAAAGTGTAGTCAGAATTGCAAGATTTTCACTCTGAGGTGTGGATCGGAGTGTAGGTAGGTAAGTAGGGAGGAAAGAAGGTAGGAAGAGGAATGGTTGTTGGTGAGGATGGTGGGAAGTGGAGTGGGTTGAGGGCAGAGCAGATGCAGGATAAAGTTGGCCCACTAAGCTCAGATGCAAAATCTCTAACTAGGAACCATATTGAAATTCCTTGCTTATGTGTTGTAGCATTTGACCTGCCAAAGCAGTTGAAAAGATTTTTTATTTTAACAATAACTGACAGCCACAAGCAGGTTTTGGAAAACAGTTTACAGACCAGTGGTTGTAAAAAAAATACTTGGAGTCATTGGCAAGCAGTTAATTACATCTTATCTGTATTTCATGAGCATTTCCGCCTACTCCAAGTTGTAGCCTTTTTGTAGTCAAAGTGGGGTCTACCTGAAGTTAGCATAGATTCAAATGGTGAGTTTGGGATTTGTTCCTTTGTGAATCACACCCTGTTGTTTTTGCCCTAGTGCCAAAATGAAATCTATTGATATAGGGGGCCAGAAGTATGCATCTGGATATCGCTAAACATTTCTAAATGTACACAAAACTTCATGACTCCATGAAAATCCAGCCCCTTACTATGTGCACATACTCCTGCACTAATTTCTCAGAAGTCTTCATTTTTGGTTGCTCCTTCCAGGCAGTGTTATCTGTGATCTTTTGAAAGGAAAGCTCTTTTGCATGTAAATTTTTTGATGTACAAACTTTCCAAAACATTTTTTTAAAATATCAGCCTGCAAGAGAAATGTTGGGTGAAACAATTGCAGATCCAAATTCACAATGATCTCATGATGTGAACTATTTTTAAATATCATGACAAAAGACATGGTCATTTCTGAAGAAGGATCTAGACCCGAAACGTCAGCTTTCCTGCTCCTCTGATGCTGCCTGGCCTGCTGTGTTCATCCAGCTCCGCACCTTGTTATCTCAAACTCCAGCATCAGCAGTTCCTGCTATCTCTTAAACATTGTAAGGGTTTCTGCTCCTACCATGCTTGTGTTCCAGATTCCCACCTTCCTTTGAATGAAAACTGGTTAGTAAAGTTAGACCACTGTAGGATTCAGGGAGAGCTTGCTAATTCAATATAAAATTGGCTTGATGGTAGGAGACAAAGGGTGGTGGTTGACGTTGATTTTTGGACCGTAGGCCTGCGACCAGCGTGTTCTGCAGGAATCAGTGCTGGGTCTACTGTTGTTTGTCATTTATATAAATGATTTGTATGATTATGTAGGAAGCATTGTTAGTCAGTTTGCAGATGACACCAAAATTGATGGTATATTGGACAGTGAAGAAGGTACACTGTCCAATGGACTAAGGAGTGGCAGATGGAGGTTAATTTCGATAAATGTGAGGTATTGTCTTTTGGTAAGACGAACAAGGACAAGACTTACACAGTTAATGGTAGGGCCCTGAGGAATGTTGTCAAACAGAGAGACCTAGGAGTTTAGATACGTGAAAGCGGCACCACAGGTCGACAGAGGTAAAGAAGGAATTCGGCATGCTTGCCTTCATTGCTCAGACCATTGAGTATATGAGTTAGGATATCATGTTGCAGTTGCACAGGATGTTGGTGAAGCCACTTTTGGATCTCTGTGTATACTTCTGGTTACCCTGCCATAGGAAGGGCATTATTAATTTGGAGAGAGTATAGAAGAGATTTACAAAGATGATACCAGGTGGCACAGTGGCTCAGTGGTTAGCACTGCTGCCTCACAGTGCTAGGGACCTGGGATCGATTTCACCCTCGGGTGACTGTCTGTGTGGAGTTTGCACGTTCTCCCTGTGTCTGTATGGGTTCCCTCTGCGTGTTCAGGTTTATTTCCATAGTCCAAAGATGTGCAGGCTAGTGGATTGACCTTGCTAAATTACCCATTGTATCCAGGGATGTATAGATTATGTGGGTTATAGGGGGATGGGTCTGGGTGGGGTGCTCTGAGATTCGGTGTGGACTTCTTGGGCTTCTGGACCTGTTTCCACACTGTAGAGATTCTATGACTGGAGGGTTTGAGTTATAGAGAGAGACTGGAGCAAAGGAGGTTGAGGAGTAACCTCATAGAGGTTTATAAAATTATGAGGGGCACAGATATGGTGAACTGCAAAAGTCTTTTCCCTAGAGTAGGGGAGTTCAAAACTAGAATGTATAATTTTAAGGTGAAAGTAGACAGATTCAAAGGGACCTGGGGGGCAATGTTTTCACACGGAAGGTGGTTCATATGTGGAATGAACTGCCAGATAAAGTGGGAGATGCAGGTTCAATTACCACAATTAAAAGACATTTGGACAGGCACATGAATAGGAAAAATGTAGTGGGATATGGGCCAAACACAGGCAAATGGTACTAGTTTAGTTTGGGAAAATTGGTCAGCATGGACATATTGGACCGAAGGGTCTGTTTCAGTGCTGTATGACTCTATGACTCAATAACATGCCTCTAAACCTCCTGTCCCTTACATTAAATCTATTATAACTTGTTTGATAAGTTGATTAAAATAACCAGAACAAGGAAGTGTGACCTTAAATTGGAACATGGCAGTTGAGGGATGATGTTAGGAAGCATTTGACACACAACAGGGGTGTAGTTTTCTAATCACTGTGCCTGTCCAGTAAGTGTAAATAAATAAACTCAGCTTTGTGATGCCTTCCCCCTATTACATTGTTCAGAATGAGAAGTTGTAAAATTGGATCTCATTACTAAATTGACGTAACATTCTTTTAGGACTTGAATTTATAAGAAAATTAATTTAGTACTCTGATAATATTCATCAGAAACAGTTGACAATTCCCAAATCCTTCACTCAGATTTCTAAACAAGGCAAATGCCTGAGGCTTACCATCCAGTTCAAAGCTCTGATAAAACTTTAATTTCATTGGGCAACCTGTGAATCAACAGTTTTGGATTTAGTTAGTATTTACACTGTGAACTTAGCAGGAGTTGAACAAATTATTGAATAAATAAATTAACCTGTTCTTGACAAATATCTAAAAAGAGGCAACAAGAACACAATTTACAATTGTTTATTAAAATCTCTTGTTCTTGGAAACTTGTATATGTAAGCGAAACCCTCATCCAGATCTTGCACCCTGACATCACAAATCAAGAAAGCATTGGCATCTGGACTTGTTATTTTCCTAGCACCAGCTTTTTGCTAATAAACAACCTTACACAAGTTAAAACAATAATGAACAATCTCTTGTTCTCTGGATTTTGAGGTGTGTCTTTTCTACACGTGGAGAAATGTTTTGTTTGCATAAGTCTTCAAGTTTGAAATAGAATTAGCCATTTACATTCAGTCCAACTATAGACTAATATGTTTTGAAAGCAAAATTCAGTGAGTATTTTCCTAAACTTTGGATCCAGGTCAGACTGATAGTAATTTGTTTACACATTGCTAGGAACATAGGAACAGGAGCAAGGCCATTCAAGCCTTCAGTTCCTTCCTATGTGCAGTAAAAGCATGGTCATCTTCACTCAATGGATGCAAATATTCATTAACCTCGGTTTTGAAATTATTAATTGATCTCAAAAACTACTGCTTTTGGTGGGGTAGAATGCCTCATTTGTACGAACCTTTGCATGTGTGTTTTCTAACCCAAACAACTTATCTTTGATAAAGTTAAATCCCCTTGTTGGTCACTCACCCACCATTGTACAATATCTTTTAAAATAAATGGAAGAAAGACATTTCTGGAAAACCTGAGCAATTCTGGTATGCTGTACAAAAAGAGAGAGTTAAGGGTCTAGATATTCCTGGAATCAGAATGATGCTGTGCTTGTATATTCCCCCAACTCAAGCTGATTTACATTTCTAATGGGGTCTTTCAAATCTGGCTTTCACAGACACGTCAGTACAGTGTCTATTTGAGAATTCTGTCAGGGTGGAGTTGGGGGAAGACATGACACCTCCTGCCGTTTTTTTTTATATAGCAGTAGCTCCTGTGTGGTAAATTTGGAAGGCAATGGCCTAGTGGTATTGTTGCTGGA